ATGGCTTGTAGTCAAAACCGAAAGTGCTTGAGAACTGTTCATACGATGATTTAACACAGTCCGGGTTACCATTATGGGAGATTTCCTGTTATGTTTTACCGCCAATCCTCAATTCCATATCACAGATTATGTTCTTACTGCATTAATATAAATATTAACAAGACATAGTGCACAATAAAAGTTAAGCTTTATTTCGGAACTTCGCGCACACTCCCCCCTGCCTGTTTCGCTCTGCTCGCTACTCGTCAGAAACTTCTCCTCTAGGGTTGCCACATTTGTCGGAGGGCGCAAGGCTCGCTCCTTATCGCCATCACCACAAGCGTTTGAAAATCAATGAAGTCTCTCCATCAATTAACTTTCTCAGCTCTTCATCCTTATCTTGTTCCAGTGCAATCTTTTCATAGTCGATAACAGCAATCTCTTCCACTCAAGACAAGGTATCTGCCACAATATTCTCTTTGCCTATAATGTGCTGGATGTTAGTGGTAAACTTAGAGATGTACTGAAGTTGTCTCAATTGCCTTGGTGATGCTTTTTCATTATTTTGCTTAAAAGCAAAAAATAAGAGGTTTATGGTCAGTAAAGACTGTAAACTCTCTACCTTCTAACAAATGTTTAAACTGTTTTATAGAGAGATATATTGCTAGTAATTCTCGGTCATACGTGCTGTATGCCCTCTGTGCTTCATTTAATTTCTTCAAGTAGAAAGCAATGGGTTTCCAGCTTCCTTTCTCCAATTGTTGGAGTACTGACCGTATTGCCCAGTTTGAGGCATCTGTACATAACGATAATAGGCAATCAGGTTTGGGAAATGTTAATAAAGCAGTGTTAGCCAAATCTGTTTTGCCCTTTTTGAACTGCACTTTAGCTTCCTCTGTCCATGGAACTTTTCGTTTATCCTTCTTCTTAGCACCTTTGAGCATCTCGTGGAGAATGGCTTGTGTTTCTGCTGCATTTTTAAGATATCTGCGGTAGAAATTTACCATACCTAGGAAAGTACGTAAGTCATGAATTGTTGTTGGCAATTTGTAATTCAAAATCGCTTGCACTTTTGCAGGGAGAGGTCTTGAACCTGCAGCATTTATGAGATATCCTAGAAATTCTATTTTTTCCACTCCAAACACTGATTTTGATATATTGATGCATAAACCATATTTGTCTAATCTTTCAAACACTAGTTTTAGGTGTTTACTATGCTCCTCTTCTGATGATGAGGCTATTAATACATCATTCAAGTAAAGGAACACAAAATCAAACTTGACAAACTTCATGCACAAAATGCTGAAAAATCATGCACAAAATCAAGACCAAAATGCACAAAATCAAGACCTTCATGCACACTTCATGCACAAAATCACAAAACTTCTGCACAAAATGCTGAAACATTGATGGTGCGTTCCTAAGTCCAAAACTCATTACAATAAACTCAGATAACCCAAATGGAGTAATGATAGCTGTTTTGGGCTTATCCTCTTCTGCTATTGGCATTTGGTAATACGCTTTAAGAAATCTAATTTGGAGAAAATAGATTTCCCACTCAAAATGAGATGAAAGTCTTCTATCCTTGGTATAGGGTACCTATCTGGGATTGTCTGAGCATTTAGTCGTCTATAATCCCCACAAGGTCTAAGCGTTCCATCTTTTTTGTTTACTAAATGTAAAGGATTGGCCCACTGCGATTTTGATGGTCGGATAATATCGTTATCAAGCATAAACTGGAATTCTTGCTTTGCCAATTTCAGTTTTTTTTTTTTTTCTTGCATCTAGCTGTCGTGTACATGCATATACAGGTTAGCCTTTCATACAAATATAGTGTTTAACATTATGCTTTGTTTGTTTATTTAGCACATTAGGTTTAGTCATATTTGGGTACTGACGTAGCAGTTCAGCAAATTTGAAAGAATTATTTATGGTAGATATAACATGATCAACACCAGTTGACATTATATCACTTGAGACTTTAAGTTGAGTAATGCCATCAATTAACTGTTTCTTTTTTATATCAATTAATAAATGAAATTGATTAAAAAAAATCTGCACCTAATATGTCTTTGCTTACCTTGGCAACGATGAACAGCCATTGGAATGGGCGTCTCAGTCCTAAATCTACAGTAAATACCTTTATACCAAAAGTTGGTATTTCTGTCCCATTAGCAGCATATAATTTGTAGTCACAAGATCCCTTTGTTGTACAATATGCTGGCAGCAATGACACATCTGCTCCGTTGTCCACTAAGAACTTTAGTCCTGAATTTCTATCCTTTATAAATAACCGGAACTTACGGCTATGCATGTGTTTAGCAGAGGAGCTAGCTGCTAAATCTACTGCTGGCTGAAGTTTTCCATCTGTTTCCAGCTGCAAGGTAGGGTACACTTTTTCCCAAATTTAAAGTGGAAATAGCACAGTTTCCCTTTTTGATTATACCGTTTCTGAGATCTGCTGTGACTCCTATGGCTATGGCTGGGACTACGAGTTTGTGATCTGGAATGTTGCACACTGAGTGAAGCTTATTTGCTGCTCCAAAGCAGATATTTTGGTGAGAAGTTCGTTAACTGAAGAGGCATCATTACTTGCACTTGCAAGTTCCATGCATGGACCCATTTCAGCAATTTTATCAGCCATTGTGGCTACTTTTTCAAGACTCTCATCACTGACTATAAGGATATTTTTGACTGCGTCAGGCAACTTTTCCATCCACAGTAACACTTTATCAGACACATTGTTATTATCACCAAGCGTTCTCATCTTTCTCAGCAGTTGACTTGACTTCATATCACCAAGTTCTAAACCAGTCAATAATCTTTTGATACGCTTATTTTCGCTCTCTTTAAATAAGTTTGTTAGTCTTTGTTTTGCTGCTGAATATTTAGTTGCAGTTTCATCTTTGATAATGTCCCATATATTTTCTACAAACTTAGGATCCAGCTGAGCCACTAAGTCGTTAAATTTAGTTTCTTCTGATGTAATTCCTGCAATTTTAGTTTGGGCTTCAATAGTATAGAACCATATCTCTGGTCTATCAATCCAGAATGGGGGAATCTTTACACTCACTTTGCTTGCTTCTAGCTGCACATCACTGCTATTAATATTTGTATCAGGCATTTTTGTGCTTCACTTTCTAATATCCAAAAAAAAAAAAAAAAAAAAACATTCATAACACTCGAAAGGAAATCAATAATCACAAGATACTGGTTCTGAAAAGTTGAGCCAATTGTCTAGAAACACTAAACTAGCAGAAAGTCTCTTCTGCACTGGAAATTATGGCGATGCATTGAGATTATGCACATTGCAATGTCCTGCGCACTAGGGTCACCAAATGGCCGTGTTATGAATGTCCTGACGATATCAACTGTCCCTATCCGGAGATGAATTATTTAATCGTTTAATCAATATTAATAATGATTCCGTTACAATAAAATAAATCAGCAAAAATAATGCAAGAGTTTATTTACACATACTCCACATGTACTGTCAACACATGGTTCATCTCAGAGACAGACAGACTCTCTCTTCATTTCGAAGTTACAGTTAAATTACAATTAAAAACATGAGAATGAAAAATTACGAACTTAGACAATTAAATATACAATTAGAAAAATTACAAAAAAAAAAAAAAAAAAAAAAAAAAAACTTTACAAATTAGTTTGCAAAATTTACAATCAACCAGTATTTTGTCCTTTCCAATAAATCATTATTTTATAATGTATTATTATTATTCTACCAATTCATACTAGCAGGCAAGCCATCTGGTGGTGAGATAATGAAGTGAAAGTTGTTCTAACATAATGATTGTCTCTTTTGTACCCATAAAGGGTCAGACAGAGTTAAACTTAATGCAAGTTCATATAATTTAAACTACTACAAATAAATTATCTTTCCTCCTTCTTCTTCTCCCTTATTCTTCTCAGGGCCACAGCTACCTTCATAAATTAAGATTTCATTCTTCCTGTAAAAGATAAATGCTGGCTTGAACCCCAAGAAGCAAAGGACAAAGCAGGTTTAAAATAAGAACTGTTAGTTAAACAAGGATAGCCTCATAAATTTATTTCTTTGTTTCATTTTCATGCCAGTAAAATCTTTTCTAGTGTTCATAAATATTTTTGAAGCTACCTATGTCGCATTTGTAATAAAGGAAACTTTTAAATGGATATCAAATATGTTAATTATTTTGTTTGTAATTTTATTAAAACTGCTAAACATTATCATTTCTTTAATTAAATTGCTAAAAATTTTATAAATGTGGATGGAGAAAGGGAATCAACTGGATTATTTTATATTTCAAATAGAGGTTTACAGTGAGTCATAATTTTCACGGTCAGAGGCAAATTAGGCAAGATATGCGATTGAAAATTGTGTATTTTCATCAAGTGTGTATATTTTGTTTTTAATATATCTGCTGTTGTTCTTAAGCTACTGTATTCTGTTCAAACATGGTATTTGAGTAATTAGCATAGAACTGCAGCATACTTAAACACATTTCATAATTTTATTTCATCCTTTAAATATGCAAAACATAAAAGTTTGAAGAAATTTTGTGTTTTATTTTGCCTTAATATATTTTCTTTTAAGTTAGTGTACCTTTGTATTCTGTAAGTTCAGAAAAATAATTAAATTCTTTCTCATTGAAAAGTATAAAAATGTAACAGAAATATTCTGAAATTTGCTTCAGATGTTTCTTAAGGGAATAGAAGAATATTACATACAATTAAGGAAATGAAAATTCTCTTAGAAACATTTCTTTAGTTTCTTATTTTTATGATTTAATTTTATGGTGCTGATAATAAAACTGGTATTAAATTTACTAATAAATCCCCCTAAACTGTTAGACCTCAAATTTTAAATTCAAACCATTATTGGGAAGAGAAAGATTGTCTACTAGAACTCTCTTTCTTTGCCTCATCTTTCTTTTTTCCTTTCATCCTTTTTTGATTAATTCATATTTTATTTTGAATTCTCTACTAATTATTCTGAGACAATGATATGGAGATTTATTTAACAGGGTGGACATCGAGGCAACAATTTGAAGAAACTTGGATGGCATTACTAGGGGTTCTCAGTGCAACTCCTGTTGATGATGTAGATGGCAAAGAAGAGGATCAAGAAAGAATTAGGACTAGTTGTTTAGCTGTTAAAAGCATTACATCACTTCTTCTCCAAACTCTTTTGTTGCCACAACCTGGAAACCCTCAGAACAGTACTTATTTAAAGCAACCCAGAGATAAGCCCTTGGCTTTTCAGCATACAAAGTAATAAAAATCAGCTTTTATTTGATATTGTTTGTGCATATATTCAATTAATAATATTATATTGTATATTGAATTTGTGAAATTCTTTTAAAATATGTTTTTGGTCTTCATGTATTATAATTAAAGAATGCAGATAAGACAATTTTCTTAGAGCAACACTATAATTTTTATTAGTAAAAATTAAAGAAATTTTAGCCTTTTCCTATTATGTTGTCAGATGTCTTTGAATTTTTGTGCTTCTTTCATAAAATGATGGTTTGGTCTGGTTTATTCGATTATGGCAAAGCACTCCGAGGGCTATCCGCCTAAGGAAAGGAACATCTTCATGGCGGACTTCCTAAGAGAAATTGGCTTGTATACATGTTACACATAGGCAAAACCTTAAAAACGCCCTTGCAGCCAGCCTCGTTCGCGGGATTCGAATACTGACTTACCAGTGTTCAGCAACTTTACCCTTTGGCCGCTGGTGGGCTCATTAAATGATCTAAACGAATGTATGATTAAGTAGAGCAACTATGTTGATACTAAAGCATGTATTTGACGAGTTGAATAAGTATTTAATTAAATGAATTTTCAGATAAAGGAATTTTTCATCATTATCTTTGAAATAATGTAGTTTATTCATGTATAAAAGCAAGAAAGGTTTAGAAATCTGTCTTGGGTGATTAGTATACATTAAAAGTTCAGAAAGCTAAATTTCAAAGATGAAGGCTCTAAAAACATAGTGTGAAAAAGAAAACAGTTTATTAAACACAGGTTTATGCTTTAAATTCAGGAAACTTAAAGCAATAATCAGTTTCTGAACTAAATAATAACATAAAATAAATTTGCATAATACGTTTACGCATGCGCGTTTAATGTATAACGGACGGTATAAACTAGGCTAAAATGATCTAATTATCTATTTCAGTTAATGTTGCAGATTGCGTTGTTCCTTAATCTTCTAATTGGATCCGGCTTATTATTTTTTGCAGACTGTTAGAGCAATTTTATAAAAAGTAAGCTTGAACTTTCGATTATATCAAAAAGAGTTTCCTATTCTGGAGCTGCCAAAGGATCTACAAAGCGATAGCATGTTTCGATGTCCATCAAACAAAAATGGAATTTCTGCAAAAAATGGATAAAGGCATGAAGAAAGTTACAGAGAGGTTAGTGAAACGAAAAAATTTCGATTGACAAGTTAGTCGGCATTCTCGGCACAGCAATTACAGGACTTCAACAGCGGAACTTTGTGACTGAACAAAAAATTATGTCTGTTTATAGAATTAAAGAGAAAGTACTAGCACAAAAAACGAAGCAACATAAACAATTTACATTGAAAGAAATGTTTAATAAAGTAAACAAATAAATATTAAGCTTTTCTTTTTTTTTTTTTTTTTTTTTTGTAAATTTTGATACTCTTTAGATCATAATTGCTCTTTATTTCATAAATTACGGTTTCATATTTTTAATTGTATAATTTCTGCATGACATCTTATCAGGTTTAAATTGATTATCTATAATCCGGAAAAACCCCTAATCCGGAATCGCCGAAGTCCCGACGAGTCCGGATACAACTACAGTACAAGACTTTGTACTGTAGTTGTTTTCCTGTGGGAATCATATTGTGAAACTAGCAGTTGGTTAAAGTTTCACATATTTTTATATTCAGATCAGTTACTTGAGTTGTGTAGAGAAAAAAAGATGCTAATATCATAACAACTCACCAACAACTACATAAGTTTTATCTCAATTATTATGGCCTTCTTCTGCTGTCCACATTAGTGATGCCTTTACGGTTATGCCTGAATGTTATTAATGCCCCTGTTGTAATTATAACAACAATGTCGTACTTAAGATTTTCTATGCGAACATTATACATTATCATGCTCTCAACAGATGTTTTTCTTCAAATAGCGACAGTGTAGCAGTGCTCTTGTCTAGCATCATATTATTCTTACTTCTGTTTCGTATCTTGGTGTAAACTGAAACTGCCTCACACAAGTGACTTATAATATGAACTGCTACTGGGAAGTATTTGTCATCACATCTAGGTCACCATTTGTGGAACCAGCAGTTGATTAAATTTTAGTGTATTTTTATATTTAAATCGGTTACGTGAGGTTCTTGTCTAAAGACAAAAAGATACTAAAATCATAAAAATTAAATCACAAGCAACTATATAATTTTTAACTATTATTGCTTGTTTCTTTGCAGTAACTAGCTTACATGCTGGTTTACATAGCATTGTCGAAAGAGAACATTAGCTAATCCCAGAGTGAACTTGTGTGATTGCAAACCAAACCAAGTCTGACGCAATTGCTACCATTTAGTAGGAATATGGGGAAATGATTTCACTGTTTCCTATCAGAACAGCCTGCAAGGCTATTTTAACAAAGTTATCTTGGTTTTGCTGTGGAATTTAACATTAATTCAATTTTATTCTCATAGAAGAATTCAGAGTTTATGTACATAAGCCATTTAATACTGACTAGGCAGAGGCATATAAAGCAGCCTTTGTTGCCATATTTGCTTTAGTAACAGAATTGTTTCATCAGTAGTTTAAAATATGTAACCTAAAATATCAAAAACATTTAGAAGTTTTATTTGACTGAATATTTTATCATATCTACTTGATGAGTTCTACTAATTTGTTGTAATGCAATGTCCTGTAGTAGGAAGTGGCAATGAAATGTTTTTCAATGAAAGCATTACTTCACGCTCCTGTTTAATTCTTTACACCATGGGAGTACTTAGATGGTTTTGCTGAATTTGACCGACGAATTCAGACGGGTGATAATAGACATCAAGAGGATGAAAAACTGCTATAGAATATAGGGTCGGAAGCCAAATTTAATTTTAAAAAATCACAAAAACAATTATGAAATGTGTGACATCGAGTGGAACAAAAAGTGTCAATAATAATATGTAGAAAACCATTTATTTGACTTAAAGCATGGTTACGATGCATTACAAATCAACGGCAGAGACATTCTTTAGCAACTAGTCGAAGCTGCGGCCTCGAAGGCCATTGCACAGCCGACACCGATGGACGAAGGATTGTCGGACGCATTCAAACATAACCGGTGTGCTGGCGATGTCTGCTGAAGCGACAACCATCCTTGCTGTCACAGTGTATTCACAAATGTCTCATAAACAACCGTTTTCAGCTGGCCGAGAAATAAAAATCCATCCGGGGAGTGTGGAGGCCAAGCAACAGGTCTGCTGAGTCCAATTCACCTCACGGGGATATGTAGCATCGAGGTGGTTCCTCACCGCAGTCTTAAAATCCTGCTGGTGCACTATCATCCATGAGCCACATGTTTTGGTGCACAGTGGCAGATATTCCCTGCATCAAATCCGGGAGGACGTGCTGCAGGAAAACAAGGTAATTTCTACCATTTGAGGCGTACGGGTAGAAAATACGGTCCCAACAGATGATTTCCGAGAGTCCCTTCTCAGATATTAATACCGAACTTGTGTTACACTTTTGATAAGATAGTGCTATGGAGATTTTTGGATGACCACATATGTGCATTGAACGTATTGACAATGCTTTCCCTTGTAAAGCAAGCTTCAGCTGAGAATAAAAGTGTGGCTGGAAGCTGTGAATCATTCTGTGTATCATCAAACATCCAGCACAGTAATCGGCGTAGTTGTTTTAAAGCATCAACCAAGTTCCATTGATACTTAGTTTTGAGGCCTTTTGCCAAAAATATCATCGCTCAGCTGCATTAACACAATGTAGTTAAATACCTTTTTTTTTTTTTTTTTTTTTGTTATCTGAGCAGAAGAGAGGAATTCTGGATACCTTAATTTTATGCCGAAAAAATATTTCAAAAGTTACCTTGATTGCAATCCTAGCTTTCCTTAAAATCTGTAGTCATGGGAAACTTCCAGCCTTTCAGACGGAGATCTGATACATTGTTTGAGAGTCATAGCATTATGTCAAATTCTGTGCTATGACTGTAGATATCTAATACGCAGAGAGTATTCAGGGTGAATCCCAGAAGATGGTAGGTACTCATAAAATAATTCTAGAAAGCATCCTAATCTTGGCAAATTCATGGAGTTTGTATGTAGATGCTAAATAGCTGCTTACCTGATTTAATTCAAATAAATTTTCTGAGATTGGTTGGCCTTGTCTGGTTTCCTTTCCCGCCATCCATTGTAATTTTCTTATTTTCTTTTGATTTGCCATATCAAAGCTCTGCATCATTCAAATGTTTTCATTTTCAAATCACATTCAGTATCACTTATGTGCCTGAATTCTATAGTATAATCTGTAAAATAATAAAATAAATGTCAGAGTAAACTTTAAACTAACATATTCAGCGAAGAATTATTGGTACTTAATGTTTTAAGAATTTTACGAATGTACTGAATGTAAGTACATACTGTGAGCTTCAAACTCATTGCCTACAAATACTATAAAGGCAGAACGATATCAGGAAGATGTTAAAGCATATTATCTGTACCAAAACTGCATGTAGTCCCTGTAGTCATTTTTTTAAGCTTATGATTAATGTAATCCATGATAAAATGACTCGGGAGGGTAGAGTTTAGCACCTACTGATATAAAAATTGGATTTTTGTTTATATAGTTTTATGATAATGGTGGATATTCCTTTACATGATTTTGTTTCTTAGAATTTTAGAAATATTTGTGAAAAACATTAAAAAAAGTGTGCAAATTAAATGTGACCTGTAACATCTTTATACCTAATTTAATTTGAACCTATCATTTGAAACTCAAAAGCTTCTTTCTTTCATATCCTTTTTCACGTTCTATGTGTATTAAGCCCATCTTTTGAAATCACATTATTTATAGATCCTTTTCCTTCTAAGATTTTTCATATCTTTTCTGTACAATTCTGATTAATCGCCTACTCAGCATAATTTTAATTAAGTATTTTCTTGAGTTTTTATGTCTAATAAATAATAAATCTGTAAGTACAATTCGATGTTTATAATTGTACATATTTCTTACTACTGAAAATATATTTGAGCTTGTCCTAATTATAATTGAAGTATCTCAGAAATCTGATAGCCTAAATTATGTTTTTTTTATTAACAACTTAGTATGTTTATAGTACTGTTAGAGAATATTACTGTTTTCATAAAAAAAAATATAAGAAGTACAGCAAAAGGCCAACTATCCGGAAAGCTCGGGAAATGACGAATACCGGATCCATGAAAATTCCGGGTAATTGAGCGTATTAAAAACACAATTCATGGTAGAAAAGCCAAATAAATGGAAGAAAAAATTTCCGGTCTGAAATAAAATGACTGTTTTTTATAATTTTAAAATAAACAAAATTCGTTATTAACTTGAATATCTAGTAGCTACATTTAAATTACGTCAGATTTCGAAAGGTAAAAGGGCATTTTAGACGTAAACGCTGAAGTAAAACATCATATTCGATTATGAAACACTGTTGACCACGAAAGTTGGCAGATATTTCTCCAAACTTGTGCCAGTCATTGCGGTTGAAGCTTGAAGTTTGACCACTCTTTATTTAGCAGATAATCAACATGTATAACATACGAGCATAATATATATATAAAACATAAATTGCTTGTCACAATTTTTCATGTTGCACAGGCTGAAGTTAATCCATTTTCACATAAGATGCACTTTTGTTCAGATGAGGATCCCGTAATTTTGAAATACTCTACAGCATGCTGTTGGATAATCCTAAATTTTAATAATTTTTTTCCAAATACTATTGAAAAACAGATAAATGAATAGCAGTTTTTCAAAAATTAAACCGACTTATCGAGAATTGATTGCATTTACATAAATACAAAGCATTACATCACGCTTATCCATTATTGGCACTAAATTGTACTCTTTCATCTCAGTTTTTGTTTGATTTGAATCCGAGTCCTATTCATGCATTATAAGGGAGTTACAATTCTTTTATCTGCTTAAATTTTGCTTTTAAAAAAGTTCATAAAATTTGAAAATCTTCCGGTTACTTGAAGCTTTGTAGTTAGCTGAAAGCCGGATAGTCAAGTTGTTACTGTGATTGTTATAAAATGTTTTCAATTTTTATATTTATATTTAATATTGATGCTATGAAATATGTAAAGGCAGCAGATCTAGGCAATCTAGTAATCTAGGCAAACTAGGTAATCTAGTTTACCCTGATAACTTTATATTTTTATCTAAATTCCTATATAGAGTTTCTCTAATTATTATTTAATTAATGTGCAGTGGAAGTGTTGTTGCTGTTCAAAAATATGCCTTTTCATTGAAAAATGAATTGTCGTTTGGACGAGTTACCAAACTATTAGTGAAAAACAACTGGTGTTGCACCTAGAAGTATGCATATGTTCTCAAATACTTTTATTCTTTTATTTTAGATGTGGGAAGAAGCTCATGTGTGTTAGACTGCCCATTCATATTGCACTTCAAAATATTCTTCAGTTTGAAAGGTAGTATTGTTTTCAATGTGTTATATGAGGTAATTTTATCTTTGAATTGTGTAATATGTTGTTGATTAGCTTTATGAAAATAATTTTCCAGAAATCATATACTATATTTCTTATTTGTTTTCATTCATTTTACTTCAGTATATGATACATTTTATAGACTTACTACTTGTTTTTAATAGATTTACAATTTCAACGAATTTATATTAAAATCACATTATCTTTGTTATCAAAATAAATGTAGATTTAATAGCTGTTGCAAACTGTCTTAAGGCAGATAGCCCTTGCATGCTTTGCCATCATCAAATAACTAGCTATTCAATCTACACTAATATTTGAAATTAAATATGTTCACATGCGTGAAATCATGGATTTCTCAGATACTGTGAATTATAATTCTATAAATTTATGTGGAGTGATACACAGCATCATAACACATAAATACAAAGGAAAAAAATTAAGAGCCCTGCGTATACTATAAAACTGTAGCATGAAACAATAAAAATGGTAATAATATGTTATAGAACCTCATATTCTTTGGTAACATAAACTAACAAGAAAACTGTAGAGAAATTATCCTCTGGTCTTAGGATACAGACAAAGTCAGAAGAAAGGTGTAAATGACCCTTTATTCACTCACAAAGAATTTCACAGACGACCCCACTTGAGTTTACATAAGCCAACAATTCTGGCTTAACTTAAAATAGTAATGTTAAACTTTAAATGTAATTTAACTAGCTTAACGGCTTAAGGATAATTCAATTGCACAGGAGGGCCCTGACTCATAGAAGCCAGTGGAACAAGCCTGATGGCTAGAGGCACTCAATGCCACAGAATCAAATCGCTTGTAAGCCAAAGTAACAATGTGGCCTTAAAGCAGGCTAACATACTCTAAAATCAACTTCTGAAACCTTCATTTAAGTAGAACTTCTTTCTCTCTTAATTTGAATAACCATGCTGTAACTGATTAACATTCTGGCAGGGAAGCGTGGATAAAAAGGAAAGTGACAGGAAAGCTGCTTTAACTAAAAATTAACTAGTAGTCAGAATAAATGTAGAAGTAGTCAAAATAAATTAATTGTCACAATGTTACAAGGGGAAATCATGAGGGAAAAAGAATAATTCAGAAAAAAATTAAAGTTTATGAATTTAACATGGAATGTGATCTCCACTGACTTATTACGCGCATATCACAACATGTTTTCAAGCTGGCAATAATGTTGTTGACCACAGTTTGGATAATAAACTTCCACCGCTCCAGCAATGCAGTCTTTAGGGCATTTACATCTCTAGAAGGAGAATGCCTCTGTGCAACTGCTTTTCAAAGATAGTCCCATAAGTTCTGTATGAGATTTAAGATCAGGAGATTTGACTGGACATCGTATTCTTTCAATGTCTTGACTTTCAAGGATTTTATCAGTAATGCTTGCTGGATGTTGATGAGTTTTATTGGCCATAAATAAAAAGCAGATCCATAGGCACCTCTGAAAAGTCTTACATAAGGTTAACACCTCATACTGACATCTCTAGCTGATCACAGGTGGTTCTGAAAATGTATGCGTCCATTGATTCCTTTCCACGCCATCGCACCTGCATTACTAAAACAGTTATGTTCTATAGAGATCATTTAGGAAGATCATTAAGGAAGATTTTATGTCCTCCTTTGTAGAGACATTAGGTCATTTCGAGGCTGGAAAGATGAAAAATATGCAACGCCTTTGCCAAGAATCAAACCACGGACCTCTAGAATACGCGCCCAGCGTGCAGACCACCACACCACGAAAGCATGTCAAGAAGGCGGGAGAAATACCTTATATACTCCTCCTTTTAAAGGGCAACTGGGGTTTTTAGGGGACCCAATCGCCAAATCCTAGGTCAAGAGAATCAGCATCCATCACCCTTTTAGTTCAGGTGTCACTGTAGAGACATTAGGTTATTTCAAGGCCAGAAAGATGAAAAATATGCAACGCCTTCCCCAGGAATCGAACCACGGACCTCTGGAATACGCACCCAGCATGCAGACCACCACACCACGAAGGAGGAGGAAATACCTTATAACCTCTAGATGTGAACATGTTTAGAATCCTCGATACCTCGACTCACCAGTACAGAAAACATGGAACCATCTGTATTCACACCAGTTTTGATGTTTTTTTACATCATTTAAAGCAATCCCTTTTTATTTGTGAAGGCAGTGAAACACACACCCTGAGCCGTCTGGTGTAAAAGTCTTTTCCAATAACCCTCTGTGTATAATTTGCCATGGTGCAATAGTTTCAGTGGTGGCTGCAATCTTTGAACATAATTGCCAAGCAATAGACTTCCTGTTAGGATGGCAGTTATTGCCAGATATTGAGCTTGAGAAGCAGTTGTTCATTTAAGATCTTGTTCAGGCCTCCTTACAACAGTTCTAAAATTCTGAAATTGCTTGCACAGCATAGAGAGTGTCTGTCTTGAAATATTCACACATCTCAACTGCTTTCATGATAGTCTGCCATGCTTCTAAATGATTTATGATTCACTCCTTCACAGATTCTCTCAAATGATACTTCAGAGCAAAAATAAACTGTTTTGAGCAATTACAGTCTGGAGTCTAACTCTGTATTGTAAAAATTCACTCAGATATTCATTTTGCACAAAGTGCTTGTTTCACTGCCAGTTGAAATAAAGCCCATATTTGCATAGCAGAAACCGTTTGATAACTCTTAATTGGAAACAGCTAATTAAGCTTATCTTTCACGCATTCCCTGAAAAATAGATTACATCGATTGAATATTTCATGGAATATCGTTATCTTTCTGTATGTACAGATAAATCTGGACATGAGTGTGTATTTAAGGAATTGATTGATATGCAGAAATTTTCACTTCATTCTTCAAACTTTAAATGACGAGAGACATTGACGTTTGTTGACCTTAAACATGAGTTTTTCTCTTCTTCCTTTGCATGTTTCTCTTTTTTCCAAAACAAGCACTTTTCAAGTTCAAACAACATAAACATTTATCTTGGTGCCACCTTATTTACATACCGAATAACCCTTATTCCTATGTTTTATTTTGTATTATTGTTATATAAACTGAATGCTAAAGATAGCATGTAGTAAAACTGTTGATTTAAAAAAAAAAGTTATTTGTATAACACGCTTCATTAAATTTAATTAAGAAGAGTGAAATCATATATAAATGAAAGGGAGAAGGCTTCAAAAAAAGTGCTAAACAGATGGAATTTTGGCAAGTTCAGAATTAGTTGTTTAAATTAGCTAAAATACTAAAGGAGCTTTTGAGATCAGAAAGAGCTTATTCAAAATAGGAAGTCTCTTCAGATTTTTCTTTGATTCTGAAGATGCTTTATATAATGTATTTGTAGAAGCCAAAGGTCAAAATTTATCTATTAGTGGATCAACATTTTAATCCAAATAGAGAGATTTAGGAGCACAGACAGGAGAGCAAAATCCTATCATAATGCTAAAGATTTAAAAACAGTTATGATATAATTTGAGAAACTGTTTCTACTAAAGCAACAGAAGCAGGTGAATGGTAGTCACATGCCTGATTTATGAAAATATACATACCAAAGATTATTTATAATTGTGGTAAAACAGGATTTTATTTAATGATTCATTCGAAGACTTCTCTAAAACTCTTCTATAAAGACATTCCTTTTTTTGGGAACTATCTTGTACGTGCTTTCCTTTAAAATTATTTATACAGTTATATGAAAGTCTTAACTCTCAAATATAAACAAGTTGAGAAAGGAAAATGCAATAAACTGTTTTAATTTGCTTAAATAGAGATAAGTGATGTAAACAAAGATCTCTTACTATCGGAAAGTAAGCAAAATCAAGGGACTTTAAATATTTAAATTTAAGTTATTCTCCTGTCTTTTGGAGGCATAATAAAAAGGCATAGAATGAAACAGAGCATTTTTCAAGAATGGTTTGTGCACCTTGATCATGAAATTGCAGCAAAACACAGGTGGATAATTCTGTTGTTTCAACATTGCACTGTTGACAATAGTACTTGTTTTTTCTGAAGATAAACTTGATATCCCCCCTCCACAGATTAGTTACCAATTATGCAAACATTTGTCATCCGAAATGTTTGAAAATTACTATGCACAACATGATCAAACAACTATGTTATGAAAAGAGTAGATGAAAAATATTCTGTATATTTTATCCTTTCTCCATTTTATCAGTTTTATTTTTGTTTATGCCTCCAAAATTAATAATTTTTGAATGTTTTGAATAAATATATGAAGAATTTAGTGCAGATGAAAAGATGTTATCTCATTTTGTGCACAATTAATAGTTTATCTTCGAATGTTTTGAATAAATATATGAAGAATTTAATGCAGATGAAGAGATGGTATCTCATTTTGTGCACAAGAAATATTTTGAAGATGTAAAATTTTTATTATCAGCTATTTGAACTGCATGAAGTCAAAAAAATCATTTCTTTATGATTCTGTTCGAGATCACATTAGAAGTAAATTTATTCCATATAATTGCCACACAATTTCATATTTCCAGTTCATTTAATTGCTAGCGTGTGACACTGTCAGTTTTCAAATGGCACTGTTACACCCCAGCTAAAATTTTCATCCAAAATAATTTTTTTTCTGTATTTATAAAGTCACTTGCTAATGTCTCCTCCGTGTAGAGAAAGGGTGTGATAAGAAATAAATTAGAGATATTAACAAAAGTAAAAATTGTCTCCTATAATGGTGCTAGAGTGATCAGTGCTGCTTGTTGACTAAAAGAAAGTATTAGTAATTCAAAGAGAGTAAAAAAAGTTCGTACCTTTTTTGATGACCCATTTGATGAAATACTCAAAAAGAGGAAGTGAAATGACTCATGTACTAGAAATGTGATGGAGGGTTAGCACACTAGTACAGGCACAACATGCACCCACAGTAGTCACAACTCATCCAGTGTCGAAGAGAAGTATTGAAGCATGATTCATGGCTGCTTGCTGTGAAGATGATGCCATAAATGGATGCATCACCAGGCATTCATTCCAGGAGTTTAGTTCAGGAGACCTGAGCTTTTG